GTCCGCGCCGGGCGGGTTTGAGTGCTTGTTTTCGTCGGTAGGGCGTACTCTGGTGCGTTCTTGGCCGCGACCGGAGGTTGGAGGGCGGGAGGAGGTAGCCGTGTATCGAATTGGTAGAAAGCACCGGTAACGACTTCGTAGTGACGGGCGAGGACCTGGTGTACCTCACACGGCTTGTCGTTATCTTTGGACGCCAAACATGCACATCCAGATGGCTCCACCAACACGAAAGAAGACGTCTTGGGAACACTCGACGTGTGCTTCCTTGAAAGTCTCTTCCTTAGTTTCCCAACGAGTCCCCCCATACTCGTTCTCGTCGAGCTTTCTTTCGCCTTCGGCTTCGTCCTCGTCTTCGTCTCAGTCTTGGTGATGGTGCAGGAGTCGGGGGGAGCTGTGCGACCGAATACGCTGTCAGAGTTACCAGAACTACTGACGGTGGTCGCGTCGCTATCTGAACCATTGAGGTCCCCTGCATTCTCCGCGAGTCCGAGTAGCAAGAGACCTGGCCCCGGTGCTTGCTCCTCGATACCATCCAAGAGCAGATGAAAAACAGTTTGCATGACCGATCCCGAGCACACCAAATCGGAAGCCTGTATCGTCAAGGGCGCGACGGTATCAACAGCCGTTTCCTTTGTGCATAGAACCCGGCCCTCTTTCCCTACGCAGCTACCTGAAGAATTTGCAGCCGCCGCCGCAGAAACCTTGCATGCCTTGTGACGCGCCTCCACCACCAGGGTTTGTGACGGGCACGGGGTTTGCCCCTCCGAGATAAGCTTCTGGTTGTATCTGGAGCGGACCGTGTCAGACGGGACGGCTCTGGGGCGTCTGGGGCTGCGGGGAGGCCAGTGAGTAGTACAACCAACGGCGGGACTGGCTGCGAATGGGTCGGTGGCCCGCATTTTCAAGTGCGTGGACTGAGAGGGGGGAGACGCAAAACCAGGGCGAGCACTGATAGCGACGGGGATCTTAGAGCGGAGTGAGAACTCTTTTAGGCTCTTGACCTTGGTGACGGTAATATCGGCGCTGTGGACGGTCCCTCTACTGGGCCTGGGGATACGGCTAACCGCGGGACTGGACTTTTGAGCAGTCTTGGCCAAACAAATGGGCCCCGAAATCCTCGTCTTGGATACAGGGAGGCGCTGCGGTTTTGGAGCAGAGACACGAGGATTACGAACAGTCGTGTTCAAAGGAAAAACGAATGGAGCCCTTTTGAGGACTGCCGAGGCCTGGGTAGACGGACGGCGAGGAGAAGAGACGAGAGGAGGGGGCTGATTCTTCTTAAATGCCAACGGGATGACTGTTACGGATATGGACTTGTCGACGAGAAGCAATCTCTTCAGTCCACAAGGGGAAACCGTAGAACTGGTTCCCGCAGACGACGAGGGGGTAGGACCGCGCTTAAAGAATGCAAACATCTAGAGGATTTCAGTCAGATAATGACACGGTGGGATTAGCGAGGTCGAGCATACCTTAACGAGAGTGGGTGGGTTGGGTGGTAGTAGTAGTGGTGGTGGTGGTGGTGGTGGATGAGGAGAAAGAGCGAGAGTGTGGCTGACAGGAGCAATGTGGCTTAAACTGAGACCTGGATGTCAGCCCCTAGTCGGACGCATCTCGTCCGGGGCCGCTTGAATCTCATTGGATGCTGGACGTACGCCTCCTCCGACCTTGCTTTTGCTCTTTCGTCGCAGAGAATTGTAGTTGACGGACCAAGGGAAGTGCAAGAATCCGAGCGCTCCGTGACGCCGTTCACAGCTCAATCCACGAGATGCTTGAAAAGGTTCTAATACTTGAGATTGGATGCACAAAATGCTTTCTGCTTGGTGCCTTCGGCGGTGCTGTCCGTGCACTCAGACAGTTGGCGAGAGGGGGAGACGTAAGGGCAAGACCGTGATAAGTCACAACGAACATCACTCGAACATCACTTCGATTTGGTTTCTTATTCACTCACCCATACATACATACTTCGTCCAAAACCATCGTGAATTGGTACAACTTGATTTCTTTTTCGTACATACAGGTCTCCTTTACATGTGTGCTTTGTGTAATCTTCACAACCTCGCCACCTTGAATCCTTGAAGCGCCCATTGTCTCTTCACCGCGCTCTCAAGCTTTGACGGAAGTGTGCACACCTAGGTTCGCGCGGAACCTGACCGCCTCGCTCGCGGGCTTGACCTGAAGCGGCTTGACCGTCGGCGCGCCGACAGCCTTGGCGATGCGGTCGGACAACGATTGGTCGACGGCGGCCCAGACGGACACTGCGAGGTTATTTATTTAGTTGGAAGGCAAAGCAACAAACGAAGGAGACGACGTACACTGGCGCGCCCTGACCTCGGCATTCTTGACGTTCCCGAAATGGGCGGCAACGTTCTGCACGTACGCCTCCCTCTGAGCGTCGTTCCACACCTTGCTCCACAGCGCGCGCGGCTGCTCGAAGTCGACTGAAGATGAGGTTAAGTATTATATAGAATTGAATCTCTGCTCGGGAAAGACGTACGCTCGGTGATGAAGCTGAGATCGCGGAACGCCGCACCGACAAAGGTCTCGTGCTTGGCCTCGCGCTCAAAGTCGCGCGCACCGCCCTCGAGCGTGCCATGCGCGCCGATATACTTGAGCGGGGCGATCGAGCTCTGGTAGTTCGGGACGCGCGCCCTGCGACACGAATGTGCTTGCGCCGTCGCGCTGGAAGTTGGCGACAGGGACGATCGGCGCATTGACGGGCAGCTGCTGGTAGTTGGTACCGAGGCGGTGGCGGTGGGTGTCGGGGTACGAGAAGAGACGCGACTGAAGGACGGGGTCCGCGCTGGGCTCGATGTACGGTACGAGGTGAGATGGCGAGAAGGCGGCCTGCTCGATCTCGGCAAAGTAGTTCTGCGGGTTCTCGTCGAGCACGAGTTTGCCAACGGGGCGCAACGGGAATTCGCCGTGCGGCCAGACCTTGGTGAGATCGAGGATGTTGTAACGGAACTGCTCCGCCTGGGAAGGTGTCATGGTTTGCACAAAGACATCCCACGTAGGGGGGTGGCCAGATTCGATGGCCTCGAAGAGACGCTGGATGCCGTAGTCGGGGTTTTCACCAGCGAGTTTACCTGCCTCTGCGTTGTTGAGAGTTTTGAAGCCACCCTGAACACGGAAGTGCAGCTGGGTGTAAACGAAAGAGCCGTCTTTTTTGAACCACTTGAAGGTGTGGCCGGAGTAGCCGTGCTGTTGGTGGTAGCCATCGGGGGTGCCGCGATCGCTGAATAGGATCATGATCTGGTGGATAGATTCGGGGTTCTGGCCAAGGTAGTCCTGGATACACGTCAGAAAGCTGATCTCTGCTTAATCCTTTAGACACACCCAGAATGCATCGGCATCTTTAAGGTGAGTCTGGGGGTCGCGCTTTTGGGTGTGGATGAAATGGGGGAATTTGGCTGGGTCACGGATGAAGAACACCTAGGATGATGTTAGATTTAAACTCGCAAGCGCGAATTAATGGATCACGTACTGGTGTATTGTTCGCGACGATGTCCCTTTAGATCCGGATGGTCAGAATAAGTAGAATAAGGTGGCAGAGATGAGAATGAGGACATCCCCGGACGCTGAAGGACCAGACGATTGTGCAGGTGACCTGCGGCACTTGCCGACAGCTCCGACTGAACAACGTCCATCCCCGCACTTGGGAGAATACGAATACTCCTGGTAGGTAAATAGGCTCACCAGTTGCCCTCTTCGGTCCTGAGCTTGATCGCAAATCCACGGGGATCGCGCGCAGTATCGGCGGAACCAGACTCGCCACCGACAGTGGAGAAGCGGACAGTTGCCTTGACCTTCTTGCCCTTGCTGCTCAGAAGGGGGTTGTCGGTGAGGTCGCTAAGATCCTCCGTGACCTGGAAGTATCCGTGGGCTCCTGCCCCCTTGGCATGGACCTGGAAGACTTTGTGAGAAGAGATCGGGATCGGACAACTTGATGCGTACGACACGCTCGGGAATTCGCTCGCCTGCACAGAGACAAGTTAGGGCCTTTCAGATATCGAGGGAGGGAACTCACGATCGAAGTGGGCCAAAGCATCGATATGGTGGAAGTCTTGCAACAAAAGCGGGCCTAGCACCCCCAGTCGTTGAGCTGCATATGGCTCCGAAACGGGCGCGCCGTTGGAGGTGGTGTAGTGGGCGGTTTCGGCACCCGCAGTGACAACTTGTTTAGAGGGCATGGTTGTAGAAAGAAAGCGGTGGAGAGGTGAACAATATCCCAACGGTTTTTATATCTAGATCACGTTTATCACCTAAGACGGGTGCTGTGATTGGTCAGTCCCTTCGATCTGGGTCAAATGACGCGGGGTTCCGTCATTTTTGTAACATTCTAGCTCGTTCTGGCCGATTGATCGCGGAAGGCAGCAAAGGCTTCTATAGAGTCAGTTCCGAATCGCTGGGTAGTGGTGTGAATGAAAATTACGAACCGTGCAGACAACAGCCGGGAATATAATTAGGTTTCGGATCGCTTATCCGGGGTTGGCTTGATTCAATTGCAATGGTGCGAGACCACCCGTTGACAAGTATAGAGCTGGTGCAGATAGAAGGGTCTGGACGAGTATAAGGATCAAGTCGCGTTGGTAGCCATCGCTTCATTTTTGGTGGGACCCTGGCAGCCATATTTTCGCAACAACGCGGAGAAGTGGGGAGAGGGGGAGACGGCGAACGGGATCCATATACATCCGAATGGCGTGTAGGCCGTTTTCCGGGTGCCGGATTGCTCTCAAGTAGCCGCATGGCTCGAAGAACTCCAGCGAAGGCGTACCATGTCGACCCATGACAGTGCTGCCTAAAGAAAGACCCGGCTGCCGGGGTGAATCGCTGAGGATCGGGTCCGTGGGCAGTCCTTGGCAAAGGTTCGGAATCCACAAGGAATCCAAATGAATGGATAGGAAAAGAAAAACAAACCGACATCAAATTCGGAAAAGTTCGGAACAGCGAGATGGCACTTTCGAGCAGGGTATAGCGCATCAAACTGGACATCTAACATGTCTTGACTAGTATATCGGTTAGTACACGCGCTTGTCATTCGTATACGGCATCTATATACGCGCGAAAGCTGGGTTCGACTCCCAGGTCGAGAGTTTCTTTTTGGCGAAACATCTCTTCGCCGCACTTACGGCTAAATCACACCAAGAGAACTTCAAATCGACCAAAGGTCAAGATATACCAAGTTCCCCCATGCCATCACCATGCGAAAGAGAAGGCTGACGACGAAGAGCACCGACTCCGTCGCAGCGAACTCAGTGGTGCCTATAACACACGGCGTGGACGCCGACTGAAGACTCCAGGAGAATGGCCATGATGCCGCCCACACAGACAGAATCAGGGGTCGAGGAATGCACTCACGATTGCGGAGAACCAGCTGGATGCTATGCGCCCAGACCTGGTATGAACGATAGCGCCGGGATTAATGCGCCTCTGCGTCTTTTCGCAAGGCAATGCGATGAATATCCGGTATCTGATATGTCGAGCGGGTCGTCTCGGACAGCGAGCACGCCTGTCTCAAATGCTCCACTCTCCTAAGAAATAAGCCCCTATGTGGCGAAGATCAGGAGCTGTCAGACTTACCATGACGTGTGAAACATTCTACTCTTAATTCTCTCTTTGTGCAGAAATTCATCCTCGCGCCCATCGCTAGACCAGGAGAATATTGCTATCCGGCAATTTGAACAGGCGACGACGCAAAGACTCCAGTCGGTCACCGTTCAGCAATGGACCTTGCTCTGATAAGCGCACAACTCTATCGTGGGCGAGGTGTGTATGCTCCCGTACCTGATTGTGTTGCAGTCACCTGGAGAACTGGTATCGCCTACCCCCGGGAGCGTTGACGTCGCGATCGTGTTCCTGGGATTCCGGAAACTACCCAAGTCCAGATGCTCTGACTCATTCAAACCAACCGGTGCTTCCTTGCACGCATCTGGTTCTCGAAGTTTATGTTCATCGGTATGGGTTATATTCACAGACACAACTGTCTTCGTAAGGCAATGTGCCACTCAAGCGTCCGTTACATGGGTATGGCATCAATGCGCAGGGAACTTGGCCGTCCAGGGCCCGCGTGAAAGGCTACCTCTCTTGCACCCAACCACCTCTGATATTGCTCTTTATGTTTTCTTGTCGGTTGTTCAAGGGTAATGCACAGACCTATGCTTGCTATCCGCGTTATGGAAATCAGTCTGATGTCCCTTTGCGAAAATAGAGAGCCGCACCTGAACGGATTGGTACCGTCAATGCAGATATTAAAACCAACTGCATCTGCTGCAATACCAGCCGATCCTTGTCGCTCCAGCCTATCGCCAGGCATATATGACCTACCTAACAGTGGGGGAACATGCCTGAATGGTTCAGCTTGCCTGTGTTTCCCTTGCTTGTATTAGGTTTCCTGGATAGTATATGCCACCAATACCCGTCTTCTTAGCTTTCTTCGTGAGAGGTCTATTGCCTCGTTTGCGAGGTAGATTGATTTTCACAGCGAGTGGGCCGTTGACGACTGTAGCATACAATTAGGACACGTTGTATGTTGGTACAGTACCTGCTTGTTCCTAATTGGGACCTCCGCAGTAATACATCCTTCCTTCCTTCCTTCCTTCCAAGCCGTTGGCATGTACTTCCTAATACTGATACAGAGCCATGTATTTCGGGCCTTGCCGGCGTTTGCATGAACAACTCCTTGTCACTCAACTATGATCACCCAGACTCCGAAGGACGATACACCACAGTGCGCATCCTGCGGCCCCGAAGTCAGAAATGGCATGGAACCATCGTCAAATACTTTCAAACGAGCAACAGCAGCATTAGGGGGCTGAGCGTTATTGCTCAACGACGCGATACGAACGTCGGCACAGCGTTTGGAGTAGATGGTTCATCTCACCGAGCAACCTCAAGCCTCAATATTGATCTCTTCTTGTGTACTTGCAGTTTCACTCCACGGCCTCTCATGTCTCAGTCTCACCTGAGTCGGCGGTGCTCGCCATTCCTTTCGTACGATCGGACACATGCCAACAATTCGGGATGTCACTAACACTGACTGTATAGACCCTCTGGTTAGTCGTGATTTCCAAACCCCACTTGTAATTCGTATCTCTGCCGTCCATGTCTGCAACTCCGGAATCTGTCAAGCTTTTGCTTGGGCCCATATATGTCGGAACGATTGTGAGTATTCTCGCTGATGTTCTTTGGTGTCTGAACTCTCGTCAACCAGCTCAGTACCTGTTTATTCGGTGCATGCGCCGTCCAATTCATGACCTACTATCTTTCAAAGCGCCGACTCCAAGACTCGCTCACTGTACGGTTAGTCACCGGCGCCCGTACATCTTTTAGATTGTTAAAACGTGCTTGAAGCGCTCTCGTCCTCTGGGAATTCGTTCTTTCGATATTTTGCGCCGCGACTTCGGTTTATTTCGTATGGCTCTACCTGGTGGACAATTATTTCAATCCTGAATTTTTGGCTTCCGCGCCATGGCCCTTGACCGCTGTCCCCATGCTTTCCGGATTGTAAGGATATTTTCACTCCTCCGATCCCGTTTCACAGATATATTTAGATCGGCCTGCCCTGTTCAGATATTCATGGCATTTCGGGTCCTGCAACTTTCCAAGTCTCGTTTCTTATTCAGTTTGTTGGTCTTCCTGACCATTGTGCACGTCAGTGCTATTTTTATGACATTGATCCGCCTTGCTTACGCGGTCTGCAGGGTGGAATATCTCTCACGACGAGTATTTTTTGCGTTCGGATTAGCGTACGCACCTCGATCCATCGTATATACACGACTCATTCGACCCTAGTTTCGATGATGGGTCCCGATTGACCCCCGTGGCCGACAGCTGGCTGGCATTGGCCACCGTCAATGATGTGGCTCTAACGTGCGATTCAATTCCAGGTTGCCTGAGCTATTCAAAGAACCCGGAACTCCAGGCTTTCTCTCATATATTATCTGAACCGGAGTCGGACTGGCTTCAGCAGTTCGTGTTTCCTTCCTTGATTTTCATGCTTCTCACACTGCGTATTCAGAAACAGACGGTGTCATTGGCCGCCTGACCAGGTCTGCGCTCGAGAGCGCCGCTTTCGCGAGCTTCTTTTCTGTATGTGATTTCTCGCGAACCCAGGCTCTTTGCTAATTCGTTCTATCAGATCATGGTCCTGATCATGTTTGTAAGTACCCATTCATGTTGACCACCCCTGGAATTTACTCTCCTTTGCAGACAAAACTACCCACCACCGGCTTCCATCTCATGTTTTCCCAACCAATGGGCCGGATATATACGTCAGCTCAGATTTTCTCTGGTCAATTGCGTTCGCTCATCATGTTGTAGGAGCACATTATTATCAGTATGTCTTTCCGGTCTCTAACGAATGTGCATTCACCATTCACAGACGCTCAACGGCCGCGACGCCCTGCGCAACGACCTGCAATGCACTTACGGGTTCGATGAAACGCTGAATATTGACCACATCGGAAGATTCAGACCTCCAGCATAGTGTCGCCAATGTCCGGTTTTTTTGCGAAAAATTCCGAACCCCGAACCTGACCTCAGGTCCGGTTCAGTCTGGGGTTCAGGACAGGTTCAAACCTTTTTGAACCCAAAAGACTTCCCATGAGCCAATTCTGTGGCCTGGGAAGCCTTTGAATGCTGTATATTGCATGTATCATCTCAGTAGAACAGGCCTTTTAGACGACTGTGTGAGGATAGACCTCCAAACATCATGTTCGACAATTTCTATCTTGCCTGATTATCTATCTCAACGGTAACAAGCATATATAACTATGGAAATGTATTGCAGCTCACGGTGCATACAAGAAGCTTGGTACGTTGGATTCCAACTCAAATAATCGCAGTTTCTATGCATTTAGTCTATCCAAATAGGTCGATTTGTCGGAAAAATCCTAGATTGCTTTTAATGGTTTGTACTACAGTACAAGCCTTTGTAAGCCCATAATACTTAGGGGGATTACAGCGCATAGGTGTAAACCTCTCAAGCCGATGTAATCCACTGTAAGCGACCCACGTGCTTATAGCAATACAAGCCATTACCTCGCATTTCAATCCAATTAAAACCAGCTTCACTTCGATTTCGTATTGCAGTTCAAACAACATAGATTGATTTAGTATTTACACAGTGTAATCAACGTCTTGTCGTAAGTCGTGTGTCGGTTCGAGCCGGATGTTGACCCTCCTCGCCATCACCTGCGATGCCGCTGCCCCGCGGGGAGCGAGTCGGTGTGGATTGGTGACTTCAGTGAGGTGTGTGGCGAGGAGCCGTGTTGCCAGCCTGACATAAGATGTTCAAAACAGATCTTATAATATAATTGAAAGACCGGACGTACGTGCAAAGGTGATCGATTGTTGCGCGCATCTGAGTCCTGGATCACATCAGTGCCAAGCACATGAATGAGAATGAAACATATTTACCGGTGAGTTACGACCCGATGGTGCGTGGGTGACTTGTGTATCTGGGGGTGAAACGGTCCGACAGCGAGCGCATCGCAATGTGATGAGAGGCGTGGTTGCGTACCTTTGGAGACAACACCGGCAAAGTACCTTCCGTGCCCAGTTTACCACATTCACCCCAACCGCATCAACTGGTGAACAGAAAAGCTGTGGACCGCTACCCATGCTGGTGAGCCAGTGAGTGTCGGCGATGGAGGCAGCACATCGAGTTGATTCGGAATTCAAAACGGTAATAGTGACGGTAGTGGTTGGGCAAGACGGGCATATGAGCTGAACCGGATGTTAGCGATGGGAAAAGGGACGTTGAGCTTCAGGCGCAGGCGATGGTGGTGGTAGGGAAGCAAGAGGCACGAAACATGATGCGCAGCACTTAAGTGACGGACGCTGTGGAGCGGTGGAGCAGTGCCGTAATTCCAGTAAATCTGGACTATCTAACGGCGACCTACTTAAGTTTATTCGAAAAGACTTCAACATGAAGGCAGCAGCGAAGATATTGGGCACATTACCTGAGTTATTTGCCCTCATACTAGTGAAATTTCCGACCCCTCAAGCCACGGGGATTACAAGGTACGCCTGCACGGCTCCTAATCCACCTTAATCCCTTACGATGCCCTAATCCCGGTCGATCCCTTGTAAG